GTTGAACTGTGTTTCCCAAAAGATCCATCCGGGTCCTGACCCCCAGGACCTGTGAATGAGACCCTATTTGGAAGCGGGGTCTTTCCAGATGTAAGGGAGTTCAGGATCTTCAGACGAGAGCATCCTAACAGGTGCCCTTATAAGAGAAAGAAGAGGGAGATATGAGAGAGACCCAGAGGAAAAGGCCACGTGAAGACAGGGGCAGAGACTGGGGTGATGAAGGGCAGAGACGGGGGTGCCAGAAGCAAAGGAATGCCAAGCACCCCTGGGAGCTGCAGGAGGCCAGGAAGGACCCTCCCCTCGAGCCTCCAGAGACAGTCAGCCCTACCGACACTGATTTTGGACTTTTGGCCTCCAGAACTGTGGGAGATGACATTTCTGTTGCTTTAAGCCTGTTTTTGGTTATTTGTTATGGAGGCCCTGTGGGGAGAGGAGATGCCTGGCCAGGCCCCTAAATGTTATAGTGGGCCTGTCATTGATCACACTGATCCTTCCTGCAACCCTGGACGACCTCTGCTTTAGGTCTCCCCCTAGGGAAGGTGAATTACTAATATCTTCTATTCCGTTTCCTGGTGCACCAACTCTCTCTTTGACTTTGGACACACACATTTTCTTTTTCCTTTAGGGACCCACTTTTCCCACCAGGAATTGGGAGGGTTGCTCCCTTATGCAGGAGCTGGCGTGGAAAGGGGTGTAGGGGAGCGGGAGGGGGTCCCTCCAAGCATCTTGATCCTTCTGCAGTTCCTGGGATTGGGCTGAGGTGGAATATTCTTGGCAGGAAAAGTTGGCTCCTGAGATTTCAGGAAAATAAGAGCTTTTCTGGGAGAAAAGAAGGGTGTGATGTGCTTTAATGCCTAAAAAGTCTTTGCTAAGCAGCAGATTGTTTCAGGGAGAATGGAAAGTGAAGAGACACTCCTGGAGGGGGTGGGCGGGACCCTGATAGGTGTCATGGAGTACTGGATAGGGCAAGGGTTTCAGCCAGAATCTGGTGTTCAGAGATCCTGGCTGATGGAGAACTCCTTGACCCTATCCCTGGAGAGTGAGATTGGGCTCCGCCTCTTGGGATGGCTTTACACCAAATCCTGCTTGGAGACAGAATGAGAGACAGTGCATTACTCCCAGTCCCCAAATGAATCATGAATTAGGGCTGTGTCCATTTGAGTGGAACCTTGAAGGATGTGGTAGAAATTTTTTTTTATAAAAGTTATTCCTGGAGAAGTGAAGATCCTATCCTGGGTGCAGTTGAGAATGTGTGCGGCAGCCCAGCGGGAGGTAAGGTTAGAGAAGCAGGAGATGTGGCTGGAATGAGCACTCACGTTTTCTGCAGGCTACCGAGATGCCAGGCACTGTGCTGGGTTTCACAGGTTTGTTTTCATTGTATCCTCAGCACAGTCTTACAAGGTAGGGATTACAATGTCCACTTTACGGAGGAGAAAATGAAGGCTCAAAAAAGTTCAGTAAATTTTCCAGGGACATAGAGTATGTTAGGGGAGCTGCCTGAACTTTGTGGAGCCAAGTTTTGGAGGATCTTAACAGCCTGAAGAGGTGTTTAAACTTGAGGCAACAGGTAATAGGGAGCCATGGTAGGTGTTTGAGCAGGAGCATGGCACAATGAAAAGGATGCCAACAGAGACCTGGCAGCTGAGGGGAAGACTAATAGTAAAATAGTAATACAAAATAGTAATCATGATAATAAGAATGAAAGACTCAGGAGTATCTTGGCTGCCTTAGCATTCTTCTAACACAGGGCACCCGGAGGTCAGGCTGGAACAAAGGTATGCCCAGGATGGAGAGAGACCTGGGAGGCAAGGGTGGGAGGAGTCAGAAGAGGGAGAGGGTATTAGGGAGCAGGGAGAGCGGACTGATGGGATCTGCTGGCTCAGGGTGGGGAGAAAACAGCAAGATAGGACTTTAAGAGGGAGTTTGGGCTTTTTCTTCTGATACCCAGCCAGGGCCAGGAAGGCAGCTCTGTCAGGCCTAGGGTCAGGTGTGGCTTGACCACTACCCAGCTGTGTGGTCTTGGGTAAATCACTTCACTTCTCTGAGCCTCTCTCTGCTCATCTTTCATATCCAGAGAATATATTCTTCCCACCTCAACCCCTGTCAAAAAAAAAGTCGGTTGTGTTCCATTTTCCCTCTTACTGGTCCAGAGCTACCCCTTGGAGGGCAACTGCCAACCAGGGAAACCACTTCTGTCTCTCCAACTCCTTTCCGGGGTGGGGGAGGGGGAGCAGCTTTCCTTTGAAAGGGACATTTGAACTGGCCATCTGAACTGAAAGCAGGGATGCAACAGCTGGAAAACAGTAAAGAAAGGCATTCCTGGAAGGGAGCACAGCACGGGGAAAGGCCCAGAGGCAAGGATGTGCCTGGCTCCTGAGAGCTTCGCTGCTGTCTGATCAATGTGTGCCTCTCTCTGGTCTGTTACTGTACACTCTCCAAGCAGCTCCTGTGCTCCAGTACTTACAGGACACTTGCAAGTAGGGCCTGTACCCATTTCTCAGCTGAGATAAGTTGAGGCAGGAAGAACATTGCTGCTAAGGAGGGTGAAAGAACAGGGTGCGGAGGCCCTGTCAGCGCCGCAGGCAGTAACGAGGCTGGCAGGGAGCAGGCTGTGAAGGGAGGGCTTGACGGCAGTCACATTATTTTTGTTCCCAAATTGAAATTAAAGATCATTTCAACTCCAGATGCTGGAAATGCCTGGGTTCATTACTTCTTGGGATTTTGTCCACGCTCTCATTCTAGATTCAATTAAAGCAATTTAAAGTAATTAATTAAATTTGTTATTTGATTAATAAAGATAGAAATTCAGCTAAGTTGCTGTGAAGGAGGAAGCCATGTTGGAATTTGTTAGCAGAGGACTTGGAAAGACTCATTTCTGCCTCCTACTCAGCCTCCTCCCCTTGCTGTTCACCCACTGTGTCACCTCTGGACCCCCCTACCCTTTCAACTAGGACTCATGAATCAGAGCTTCAAGGTCAGGGTTCGAAGTGTGTGGATGTGTTCTGGGAGCAGCAGGGAGGCTGGGGTGCTAGAGCAGTGTGATCCACAGCTGGAGAGACAGGGGACGAATAAGGAGTGGTGACAGCATTGCTCATCTGGAGGGGCAGGGTCCTGAGTAGGGGCCAGAGGGCTTTGGGCAGGCTAGGAACACGCTGTACATGCACAGAAGCAGGGGAGCTGGAGAAGTGGCAAGATGCCAAAGACCAAACTGCGGGGGCAGGGGATGGAGGAAACAGCAGTGAGAAGGGGAGTGGGGTGTCTAGCCAAGGCCAGGTTGAGCTGTCCAGAAGAGACTGGGTAGAGGTAGCAGGTGCCGGCATTGACAGTGGGTCAAACTAGAGTGGGAAGGTCAAGCCAGACACCAGCATGAGGAGTCAGTGTGGGTCAAGGTTTAAAACTCAGAGGGTTCTAAGTATGACCCAAACCCCAGATACTCCAGAAAATTTACATCAGTAAACATAATGACATTTGAAAAATCTGCATGGAAATAAACACCATAAGCAGAATCAAAAGATAAGTGAAGTACTGAGAAAAATACGTAAAGCTCGTATCACAGACAAAAGCTAAATTCTTTAATATATAAAGAGCTCTTCCAAATCAATAAGAAAAAGAAAAATAACCTAGAAAAGAGGTCAGGAATGGGCAGTTTGTAGGAAAGGAAGTACAAATGCCTCTTAAGCATTGTGCAAAATTCCTCATTCTCTTCCATAATCAGAGATGAAAATGAAGAGTAGCCAATCATTTCATTGTTATCCATCAGATTGAGCAAGTTTCAAACATATAATAATATACTGGGTTGAAATTCATGTGGAAAAATAGGCATCTCAAATAATGCTGTTACTACTTCTATGGAGGCTAGTTTGACATTATCTATCAAAATTATAAATTCACGTATTCTTTGACCTAGAGATTCAGCTTCTTGGAATTTATCCTACAGATAACACGGTGGTTTATTGTGTCACTGTTTGTAATAGTTTGATAGGGAACAACAGAAGAGCCCAGGCATAGGCAGTTGGCAAAGAAATGATGGTGTGGCTGGGCGTGGTGGCTCAGCCTGTAATCCCAGCACCCTGGGAGGCCGAGGTGGGCAGATCCCCTGAGGTCAGGGGTTCGAGACCAGCCTGGCCAACATGGTAAAACCCTGTCTCTACTAAAAATACAAAAATTAGCTGGGCATGGTGGTGGGTACTGTAGTCCCAGCTACTCAGGAGGCTGAAGCAGGAGAATCACTTGAGCTCGGGAGGCGGAGGTTGCAGTGAGCCGAGATCGCGCCACTGCACTCCAGCCTGGGTGACAGAGTGAGACACCATCTCAAAAAAGAAAAAAAAAAAAGATGGTGTATCCAGGCAATGGAATGTTATATAGCCATTAAAAGAAAGAAGCTCGCAACGTCCTATGGGAGGACTGCCAAAACAGGCTCTTGGGTAGACAAAGAGCAAGATGCAGAACAGTGTGTATAATAGAAAAGTCACATAAACGCGTGAGCATTTTTTTTCTTATGAAAGTGTAGAGAATCCTTAGATTGCTAGGGTCTGGGAACAATGGTTGCCTCTGGGGAGGGGAACTCAGTGACTAGGAGACAGGAAAGAGGGGGACTTACTCTTCCCTGTATACACCTTTCTGTCTTTTGAGTTTTGAACCAAGTGTTTCCTATTCAAAAGAATAGGAATAAAATTACAACGAAAGAAAACCACCCCAGGCAGGCACCAACACATAAGGATGTAACAAAGCCAGGGTCAGACTTTGCTGGGACTTTGTTGGTCAGCCTTTCTCTCTGGATCTTAATTTCCCTATCTGTAAAATCAGACCATTTGGACCAGATGGTTTCTAATGGGCCCTTTGAGCTGTAAGAAGTGGAGTTTATGTGGTTTCATCCAGGGCTGGAGGATCACTGGGTCTGCAGGAGCCACACGGGCAATGGGGTCATGGTGTCCCCGCATCACCTCCGTGTACGCAGCATTTGTGGTTTACAAGAAGCTCTCCTGTATTTTCTCACTTAGGCCTCACAACAACCCATGAGATCAGTGATGACTGCCCCCATTCGCCAGCTTTGCAGGGAGAGATCAAAACCAAGGCGATCTTCAGGCCCAAGGCAGGTAGGGAGGAGGCTTGCCGAGCCCACCCCTGTGAAGAGGTGAGGACCAGACCCTTTTGGAAGCCTCCTCAGGCAAGGTGTCTATGTGTGCTGTCTCACTTCATCCTTGAGCAGCTCTGGGAGGAAGATACAGTTATCCTTGCTTTACAGAGAAGGAAACGGAGGCTTGAGGTGGGGCTCAGAAATGGGGCTGGAGTACCTCATCATTATCTCAACTGCCCTTGCCTGCTGGCCTGGAGGATGAGGCTGGGACCGAATTCTGGGCTTGGCCTGTCTCCACTTAGCCTGGCTGGCCGCCCTGCCTGTTGGCAGCTTGGAGCTTGGGTGCCGAGTTGGGCATCTGGTGGGCTGGCTGGAGGTGGAAGACCCTGGGAAAGATGAGGTGAGCAAGGAGCTTGGTTCTTAATTTGGAAAGAGTTTGGAGAGAGGGTGGCAGACACCTCAGGGGAGGGTAAGATCGGAGGACAGTTCCAAGGAGGGGCTTTGAGCCAGACTCTCCTCCATTGGTAAGCAGAGGGCTGAGTGGGCTTTGGAAGGAGGGGGCACTATGACTAAAGTAGGGAATACGTGCAACACCCCACAAGGGGGAAACACACTTTTCAGCATTCTGAGAGTTAAAAGGGATCACTCAGCTCTGGTAACCATTGTGAACCTTGGATTATGTCTGAGATGTGAAACAATTCAGTCTTTCTTTGATGGCTGGGATGGGGTGAGGGAGTTTCTTCCAGGGCTGTGGTGAAGCCATTGCTGACCCCAGTGAGGACAAGGGCAGCTGCTGATATGATTGGCGGGACCTCCAAAGGCTTTAAAATCTCAGCTGTCTCTCACAGGGCTACACCCAGGGCTTTAAATTATTTGGAGCACAGATACTGTGCAGGAGCCTCCTGGGGGAGGCCCAGCCTCTTAATGTGGTTCAGCAGCATGGCTTCACTCAAAACAGGGGATGTGTTAGCCAATAAGGGAGCAGAGACAAGCTTCCCTGATTCAATTCCACCCAGGGGCAGACCACAGTGGAGAGAGATGGGGTGCAGGGGGTAGGGGTGAGCTTTGATAGCATGAAGGAGTAGAAAGAACCCAAGTTACAAGACCCTCTTCTAGGGCCAACACCATGTTCACTGACTGTTACACTCTGGGCAAAGCGTTTCTCTCTGGGTCTTAATTTCCCTGTCTGTAAAATCAGACCGTTTGGACCAGATGGTTTCTAATGGGCCCTTTGAGCTCTAAGAAGTGAAGTTGATGGGGTTTCATCCAGGGCTGGAAGATCACTGGGTCTGGAGGAGCCAGATGGGCAATGGGGTCATGGCGTCCCTGCACCACCTCCATGTACGCAGCATTTGTGGTTTACAAGAAGCTCTCACTGTATTTTCTCACTTAGGCCTCGCAACCACCCATGAGATCTGGGATGACTGCCCCCATTTGCCAGATGAGAAGCTGAGGCTTGGAGATACTGAGGAACGTGTCAAGCATAGTAGGGAGGGGATGTGGGAGTGAAATCTGGGTCAGAATGGCTTTAAGACATTTCCTTTGCCTTGGGCCACAGCTGCCTCTTCCTTGTTTATGTTGTGGTTTTGGTGGAGGTAGAGGGACCCCATCACTTCAAGTCCCTCCTCTGGGAAGGAGACCTTGTTCTTAGGTCCTCACTCTGGAGCTACTCAATCAGGCCAGGGCCTCAGCTGGACCCTCGAGTGGCTGTTTTCACCTCATGGTACTCCACGTGGGTATATGACATTCCCTCTCCACTGCCTTGCAATTAGATGTGGGAGGCCTGGGCAGTTGACTCACCTCCCCCTACTCTCATCCCATCCCGGGAATCTCATGGGGACCTCAGGTCTCCTACGCTAGCTAGTGTGGGCATGGCCAGGCCAACCATGCCCTCCTCTCTCACTCCAGGCTGGGCGAAAGGGCACAAGTGTGTCTGGGAAGCCATTTCTCCCTGCCCACAGCCGTCCTGGTTCACGCTGTGACCTCACCTGCCATCCTTTCCATTACCTACTGTATCCAGGACAACTGACAGCTCCTACTATGCAGGGAGGGGAGGGTGAGGGGTGGGAAGGGGTAGGTCCACTGTCCTGACTCCCCCGCGAGGGTGCCATCTGTTCTGTCTGAGAAACTCATGGTGGGAGGGAGAACCTCGGGCCCTTCATGAGACATAAGAAGGATTGTGGAGGACCTCGGAGGTTGAGGAAGAGGCTGATTTGTAAACCCGGGCCCTGGGCTCTGTCTGTTCCAGCCTTCGTGGAGTGGCGAGAACAGCAGGAAAGTGGATTAAAGGAACCGGGCTGGATGTCCTCCACCAGCTCTCAGCAGCTGTGTGACCTAAGGTAGATCCCTTGACATCTCTGAGTTTCTGCACAGAGATGATGGATTCATAGACTCACTAGGGACCTGCAATGAAAATAAATGGACTTTGTAAACACTAAGGCTTTAGTGTTAAGAGCACGTGCTCTTAAGTGCACAGAAAGGTTGGGTTTGAATTCCAGCCTGTTGTGTGACCTTGGACAAATGACTTCACCGCTGTGTCAGGTGCTTTTGCTATGCAGCAAACACCTCACAGCTCAGTAGCTTAATGCAACAAACATTCACGTAGCTTATGATTTGGGAATCAGCAATTTCCACTGGGATCAGTTGAGCTGTCCTGGTCTGGGCAAGGCTTGAGTGATCTTGGCTGGCCTCACTCATGTGTCTGCCATTAGCTGGTGGATCCCTGGAACTGGCTGATTAATTTGGCTTCCTCTGGGATGATGAACTACGGGGCTCTCTCCATGAGCCTGGGCTTGTTCACAGAGTGGTAAAAGGACTTCAGAGGCAGTGAGAGAGAAGCCCCAGTGTGCGAGCACTTCTCCAGCTTCTGCAGGCATTATGCGTGCTCCTTTCTTTTTATTTTTTAAGACAGGATCTCTGTCTGTCACCCCGGTTGGACGGTAGTGGTATGATCATGGTTCACTGCAGCCTTGACTTCCCAGGCTCCAGTGACTCTTCCACCTCAGCCTCCTGGGTAGCTGGGACCACAGGCATGCACCACCATGCCCGGCCTATTTTTGTATTTTTGGCAGAGACAGGGTTTTGCTATGTTTCCCAGGCTGGCCTCAAACTCCTGAGCTCAAGCGATTCATTTGCCTCGGCCTCCCAAAGTGCTAGGATTACAGGTGTGAGCCACCGCACCTGGAATATGCTTGCTTCTTTCTTATTGGCCAAAGTAAGTCCCATGGTCAAGTCCTGAGCCAGGGTGGGAGGGCACTGCCCAGGGTAGTGCATGAACAATTGGGGGCCATTACTGCAATAATCTATCATAACTCTCTGGGCCTCAGTTTCCTCATCTGTAAAATAAGCAGAATCTTATATTTTTTCAAGGCCTTGTTGTGAGGGTTGAAAAGAAATGAGCAAATGTCTGTAAAATGCACTCCATGACTCATAGCCAGAGAAGAGTAAGCAATTCGTTAAGAGTGAGTTGTTGTTAATATTGTTATTAGCAAGGACTTTGAGAGAGACAATTTAAAATCTCATGCAGCAGACTCTGGGCTGTGGGCCCTAGGAGCCAGCCCTGGGCCTGCTTTTCCACTCAGGGGAAGTGGGAGGTGCCAGGGAAAGCGGGTCCTATGGAGGTATCCAGTGTCTTCCCTATTACAGCCCCTGATGGAAATCTGGGCTTTGTATCTCTTCACAACTGCTCCTAGTCTTCCCCAGGATCCAAAGGAATGACTTTGTTCCTTCCACTTCCTTTCTCTCCCTCCTTCTGGGCTCAGAGGACTTTATTATTATTATCTTGTTAAGAGATAGGGTCCTGCTTTATCGCCCAGGCTGGAGTGGAGTGCCGTGATCCTAGCTCACGGCAGCCTTGAACTCCTGGGCTTAAGTCATCCTCTCATCTCAGCCTCTTAAGTAGCTGGGACTACAGATGCATGCCACCAAGCTAATTAAAACAATTCTTTTTTTTTTTTTTGTAGAGATGGGGTCTCACTATTTCACCAGGTTGGTCTCGAACTCCTGGGCTCAGGCAATCTTCCCATGTGGGCTTCCCAAAGTGCTGGGATTACAGGTGTGAGGCTACGCACCTGGGTTCAGGGTATTTTTGATGAGGAAGAAAGTGGTCTGGGAAAGAAAGTGCCCACCTGAGGTGCTTGGTTCTGGGAGGAACTCCAAGTATCTGTTAAGTTGGGGTTCCAAAACTTCTCCCCATCAAAGCTCATTTGGATCTTCAGGGGACAATTTGCATTGTGTTCCCTGCCACATTTTTTTCTACCACAACCTACATGCACAGGGAAGCCAATGGCCATCACAAGCTCATTTAATGCCATGTAGACACTGACAGTACTGGTCACATAAGCTGGAATTGGGTTGGGGTCTGTGATGTCATCAATAGCTAACCAGAGTCCCTGGACGGCTGGGAAAAATCAATGAGGCTGCCATCTTGGCGAGCTTGTGTAAGCTGTCCCAGGGAGGAGAGGAGGATTGATTTTGTTATACTTTCTAAAATCTTGAAAATAGGATTCACACAACTGCCTTCATAGAGCCCGGCTTAGCAACCACAGGTCTCGTTCAACCTCTTCATTGTGTGCTTCTAGGGGTCCTTTCTGAGCTCACCTAGGGAGCCCAAGAAAGGAGGGTGGTTGGCTCTTCATTCTTCGGGTCTTCATTCTTCCTCGTGTGTTAGGTCCCCTGTCTTAGACTCTGGAGATGGGACAGTGAGCCAATCAGATGCAGGTCGTGCCCTCATGGAATTTATAGTCTAAGCTTAACTGATCATAAGAATAAATGTAAAATTATATGGCCAGATGGCTTTCTTTTTTGAAATATTAATCTTTCTTCCTTCTCTGGCATTTCCTCTTTCTTTATAGGGCAGTTGGACTCAGGAAATTCACTGCTGCAGGGTAGGGATGACTCAGTGGAAGTCAGTAGTCAGTTCTTGCCTTTTGAGTGTTAAAACTGAAGCTTGAATGTGTGTGTAGGGGTAGGGGGTGGAGGTGGTGGTGGATGGTGGAGGATGGAAAAAATTAGGTGAAAACCCAAAGATCTGGAAGGTGCAGGTTGATTTCCTGGGCTGGGGGAAGGCAGGGTGATGGGGAGGGGTTGGGCTATTTCTGGTTGGGCTTTGAAGATGGGCCATGTGCCTGCCCGGATCCTTCTCTGCCCCTCATTCAAGGAGGTCTGGAGGGCCTGGGAACAGAGAAGACCTGTGTCACCATCCCCAGGGTAAAGCTCGGGGCGGTGGAAGGGCCCCAGCATTCCCTGAGCCAGTGGAGCACACACTCCATGATGTTTTGGAGCAGAGTCTTAAGGCAGCCTTGAGTCTCCTGAGGCCAGGGCAGCTCTGCTACCCACCAGCTGAGGCTCACCCAAAGGCATCATGGTGGGGCAGGTGGGTCCATGCCTGGACCTACCAGGAGGGCTGCACATCTTTTCTTCTGGGGAGGAAAATGTTCTTCTGAGTTTCACTTTTTAAAAAATCTTGATAAAAGCATATTGGCCACTCTGGCTCTTCCAGCTCAGCAGCACCTGGCATTATCTTCTGACCACCTGACATGCTGTGTGCTGCCACACACTCCTCTTAGCTGTCCATGCTTGCCCAGTGAAAAAGGCGCCTCTGTGCAGAGCCTGAAGGTCAAGTATGGGGAGGCAGAATGAGAGAACCACAGGCTCGACCCTTAGCCACTAGGTCTCCCACGGTCCCTGGAACTACTGCGGGCCTGGGCCACTGTTTGGGGGTCAGGCTTCCAGATGCAGAGAGCACTGGAGTGGGAGTCAGAGCATGGATAAGCCTGGCTATGCTCCTGAACTGGCCATGTGACCTGAGACAAGTCCCACCATCTCCGAGCCTTCATTGACAAAACAGGGACAAAATCAGTGTGGTCAATGAGATAAAGAATTGGAAAGATCAAGTCTTGTCATAATAAAAGTAGATTTGCTGAGCACCGTGCCCTGAGCCAGGCACTGTGTCAAGAGGTGGCTCAGGTGAATCTCATTGATTCTTCCCCACACACCTGTGAGGTGGAACGTAGACATTATTGTTACCCCATTACATAGAAGGGGAAACTGAGGCACAGAGAGCTCAAGGAAGCTGCTGAAGATCACATAGTATTTCACAAGCTGGTATTCAAAGCCAGGCTGGCAGAGCCCACACCCAGACCCCTTCTATAGCACACAGCTCTTTTGGAGATGCCCTGGTAGGATGGGGCAGGAAGGGACTCTGAGGCCATATCATCCACTAATCATACAGAGCAGGAAACTGAGCCTCGGAGAAGGGAATGGACTTAAGATCTCAAGCAGCCTAGATACCACATTGATATATGTATGAATAAAATGTGAAACACTACAAGTTCCTTTTGGACAAATGCATGTGAATCCACAAAAAGGACTTTCTGAAGATGTCCAAACTTGCCCACATGGGATACTCTAATTTTGAAAAGTGCAGGTCTTGGGCAAGGCTGTGATGAGGACAGCGGAATGTGCAGGGGACCTTTGAGGACCACTCAGCACTGCTCAGAGCAGAAGGAACAAAACGGGACTGCTGCCTCCTTCACCAGCCTGGATTTGACTCCCAGCTTTGTCCAGAGAGGCAATTGGTCCTGAAGAAACAGTCAGAGGTGAGCACTGAGATGTATGATGCAGGGTGCTCACTGTAACACTGTTTCCAAGAATGAAACATCTGAAGAAACCTAAATGTCCAACAATAAGGGTTTGGTTAAAAACGCCATTGTAGTTTTGTTGGGTTCTAGAATATAAGACAACCGTTAAGAATGGCGTTATAGAATAAGTGGCTAAAGGCATATGGAATGTGTTCCCAGTTGTATTTGTCTGTTCTCACACTGCTAATAAAGGCATACCTGAGACTGGGTAATTTATAAAGAAAAAGAGGTGTAATGAACTCACAGTTCCACATGGATGGGGAGACCTCACAATCATGGCAGAAGGTGAAGGAGGAGCAAAGCCACCTCTTACACGGCAGCGGGCAAGAGAGCATGTGCAGGGGAACTCCCCTTTGAAAAACCATCAGATCTCATGAGACTTATTCACTATCATGAGATAGTAAGAACAGCATGAGAACAGCATGGGAAAACCTGCTTGATTCAGTTGCCTCCCACTGGGTCCCTCCTGCAATACATGGGGATTATTACAATTCAAGGGGAGATTTGGGTGGGGACACAGAGCTACACCATAATGCCAGTAGAAAGTTAAGAATAAAGTTGGTTACAACATAAAGTGGGCCATTGGATTTCAGTTTTGTAAGAAGAAAAAAAAGTGGTATATACATGGGTTGTGATTTATTTCTGCATTGTGTTTTCTGGAGTTTCCAAGTTTCTGAAACATATGGCTCTTGTCATCAGATCACCCTCCCATTCTGTTATTAATGCTTTTCAGTAAGACAGGGAGGGAGTTCTCTGTCCCTGCAGGGCTTGGAGAGCCTGGCTGGCCACCTGCCAGGGAGGGAGGGAGGCTACTCTCACAATACGTGGAGGAAAGGTATGTTCATTCCCCTTCCTGGGAACTCTGAACCCTCAGCCTGTCTCAGTCAGGAATATTTTCCCAGTCTAGGGGCTGAGTCCCAGCCCAGCTTCTATGTGCCAGGACCAGGAAACAGAATCATTGCCCACATTCCCTGGGGAACTTGTCTCCTTGAGGCGCCCACTGACAGCCTGGCTTATTTGTTCGTTCATTCAACAAAAATCTCCTGAGCACCTACTATGTGCTTGCCACTGTTTCAGGTGCTGAGAATACAGTAGTCAATAAAGTAGCAGCAGTGTTGTCCTTGTGGTGCCTGTATTCTTATGATACAGACAATGAACAATTGAATTAATATATAATATAATGTCAAGTGGTAAAAAGAACCATAAGTAAAAAGGAAAGCCAAAAAAGATAGAGAAGGATAAGGGGGTGACAATTTGGGGTGGGCTGGTCAGGGAAGACTTCTGTGAGGAGTGGCGGTACTGAGCAGCTAATTGAACATTGACAGGGTGCCAGCCATGTGGACACCAGGACAGAGAGTTCCAGGTCGCGGGAGTAGAAAGTGCAGAGGT